TATATATATATATAAATAAATAATAATTATGTATTTAGATGGCTCCAGAGAACACCATGATGTCATTCAGGAAGAGTATGGAGTGTGATGTGGTGGCATTTGAAACAGATGTGCAACTCAGGTAACAGATTGTCCCCCGAAACGCTTGCTTCTATTTTGTGTATATATATGTGTGTGTGTATAATGTATATGTTTGTGTGTGTGTTTAGTCCTCTTGTCTTTCTTTTTTCAGCAAGGACATGAAGCCTTTTCTTATGCATGACAATGGTTCAAGCTTTTTGCTGCGAACAACTGATGTGAAGGATAAGTTTTTAGGTCGAGATGGCGACATGAACACTAACTTCACATTGCAAGAGTTACAGACTTTAAATGCAGGCGAATGGTTTGTAAGGGTGAGGACAGAATTTTTTTTGTGTATTTTATCTGTAATTACTTTCTGTATTTAATTTAATTTAAGTTTTCCAATATATATAGCTTTTATGTAGTCCAACACATTTGACCGTAATTACTGTTATGTAACAATATAATGGAAATAGAAATGTAAAACAATTTATTTTTTACAATTCATTACACAATTATATTCATTATATTATATTATGAAAGATCTGTTGTAAAGACAGCTCATGTGCAGTTGCATTTGAATGCAAACTAGATAAAGCAGTCAACATCTCTCAGTCAACATGAGAAGGAGTAGCTGTTGATTAGAGCAAACAACCTTGAACTCCACTGAAGTTGCAGCTTTAATCAGTATGAGCAGATGTTGAGCAGAAAACAAAACATTCTTCCACTTTGCATTTGATATTCAAACGTTCTGTTTCAGTTCTTCAGCAGTGTGATGTCAAAATGACAGATTTGTTTAAAATTATATCTTGATTTTTCAAATATAGACAGATCCATTTCAGTCAGTGTCATCGCTCTCAAAGGAAGAGAAGATGGAAGCTAACAACCAGACAGTACCATCTCTTTCTGAGCTCTTAGTCATGGCCAAAAAGCATAACGTCTCCCTCATATTTGACCTAAAAAACGAGAAAAACTCAACAGGATTCCACAACAGTGACTCTTACTACATCACTGAAACGATCAAAAAATCAGACATCTCACCGGACAAGGTAATAATATCAATGAAATTTAATATATATTTCTATTACACTTTCAGAAACTTGGTACGCCCTTTTTTATTTGTATTAAATGTCAGAATCCTAAAGCATTTTGTTTTCTTCTATCAGTGTTATTTTAGTATTGTGTATATACAATGATTGTATTTATTAAATTAGTTTTTAACAAAATATTTCTCTTTCCTTTTTTATTTCAGGATAGGTTTAGTAATGTTAGTACCTCTGCTTATTTATTTTATTTCAGATAAATAGGCAACATTTCTAATTTTTGTTTGTGTTTTTGAGTTTAATGTTACAATGTTTTGCACCATTGAATGTAGTTTTAGTATTGTGTGTCGCTTTCAGATATGGTGGCTTCCTCCAGAATATAGACACGACGTGAGAAACATTGCACCAGGGTTCAAGCAGGTGTATCATAATGAACAAGACATGAATGCGGCTGGTGGAAGCTTTCTGAATATGAAATACAGTTCACTGAATGCTCACGAAATAAGGTAAGTGTAGGAGGATTGGTGCAGCTTGTCTGACATGCAGAGACATGATGCTGCTGCCATTAATGTTGGTATGATCTCACAGCCTTGGGGAACGTTCGCACAGGGTTTTACTTTCTTACAAAGATGACAGAAATGCTATGAAAAATGAATGCCGATCTGTAGCTTAAACTTACAAATGTATCTTCTAATGATTATAGTAGCAGGAATGCCGAGTTACCAAAATGCAACACATGATGATTGATGAAACCTTTTCCAGACGCTATTGTGTCCGGTTGGGTGCACCTGTCATTTTATAATTTTACCTGACAGTAAAGATGAAGAAAGACTGACTGAAATCTTGACTGATGAATAAGACTGCATGTTAAAACGGTCCTGCCACTCCTGTCTATTGTGCCGAGAAAACTGGCTTGTTGCGACCTGTCTAAAGGTCGCTGATATGGAGCCAAAAACAAGTAAATAGAAGGAAGATTTGTTTGTTTTTTATTTTGACATGCATTTTTTTTAAATTTCACTGCACAGTGAGCTGCGGGAAAAAAACGTGTCCGTGAATCTGTGGGTTGTAAATGAGCGCTGGCTCTTCTCATTACTGTGGTGCTCCGGGGCCAGTTCAGTGACCACCAATGCTTGTCACATCCTCAAAAACATGTCTAAGCCTGACTGGCATCTGGTAAAGCTCAGCCTATCTTTTCACCTATCACTGTGTATTCTGCCATAAAAGAGAAGATGTTTTTCCATTTTGTATTCACATGGGCTTGTCTGAATATGTAACTCCTCTGGAATCCTTTGTGTGTTTGTGTATCTCTCTTTGCACGTAACAATGAAAGGAGCCTAATATCTACATGGGAATATGGATCTCGGTTGACGTGATATCGTGGCTGTTGATGTTTGGCCTGTTTCTCTGGCAAAGGTAAGCAATGAAACTCAGCACATGCAGTATAATGCTGTTAAATTGATTTTAATGAATTTTTTGGTGGAGATTTTAATGTGTAGATTATAATAGCTGTAAACCTTTTAATTGTATATTTAATTACTTTTCTAATATTGTTTATAGTGTTTATATGTGTAACTTTCCCATTTATAATACCAGAAACAATTGATTATTTTATAAATATACATTTTTAGTGTGTATTATAAATTCTAATGTTGATTTAAATTCACATGCTTATGGGGACAATGTAAATAAATAATTTAATATAAATATAAATGCATTGTATATTAGAAATGGCAGGCTAAGTCAAATTTATTGCAAGTAAGCTAGCTGGTGTTACCAACTCTAAAAGATCTCCAACCAGATTTCCCAAGAACTGAACATGTCCATCACCCATAATGCCAAAATTCATAATACCACTCAAAATAAAAACAAAAAGAAGCAAATGTTAATCATGGCTATGAACAGTTATTTATTTCAGGACTTCTAAATTAATTGAGTAAAAGTAGTCAGACGTGCCACTAATTGAAGAGTCACTCAAATGTTGATGAGCAGTGAGTTTATAATGGGCATTTTTCTCTTTGTTTATAAGCAGGAGGAGGAACCATGTTTTTCGTCAGAATACAAGCGAGAGAAGTGTCCCCCTGCTTCCTCGCTGAATGATACCATCCCTGACACGACAGGGCGTTTCCTTGGTTCACTTTTTGAAGGATTGTATCTGGGCATTATAAGAAAACCACACCATATTAAATGTTATGCAGTAAATTTACATAATATTTGTGCTTTTAATGTAGACTGCATATACAAGACATTGTTTGATTTGAGAATTTATATATTTCCTCATTAGGGCAGCATATTGTGCAGTGCTGCCACCTCTTGACAGAGTTATGTCAGCAGAACTGCAACTTTTCTTAAATGACAAGACATTTTACAAGGGTTGTTTACTTTTGTGAAAAATTTTAGACCTGTCCCAAACCTTAACAGTGTTCAGTGTCAATAGCAGAAAAAGTGTTTTGCAATACGACATGAGCACAATAAGTGTAGTCAAAGACACCTAGTGTTTAAATGAACAAAATGTTTATATAGATATGCAAACATGAGACAGGATACGGATTGTAAAGTTGTACTCTTTCTTTTAACTTACCTTCGGATGTTTAGTCATGTTTATTTTGTGCTGAAACTGGTATTAATGTGGAGGAGATGATTAGTTCACGCGTGCCTCGCGCTGCCGCGTCTGTTGAACTGCGATCTGTCACTCCACATTAAACCGCGCCAAAACAGCATTAATTGTTTGAATACTGCAATACAATGGACCGAATTTAATATCTGAGACTTTGTGTCATATTAAAAGTACCAACGCACAATGCTTATTGTGATATATTGGATGGGAAGTGCCCTTCAACGTTCGGTCCATTAACTGAAAACAGGCTAGACTAATCGATTCTTGGGATTTAAGAATCGATATCGCTCCGTAAAAATGAGAATCGATTAATATCGAGATATCGATATTTTTTACCCAGCCCTAGTGCCAACCCTGCCTTTCCCAAACACTCCTACTGAGTCCACGCAGCCATCCGTCAAAGCACTTTTCCAAGTGACCTCTGTGGTGCTTTTGCTGACGCTTCAGCGAATAACATCAGTTTTATGCAGGATTTGCTGGTAGACCCGTCACAGCTCGTGTTCATTTAGTATCATTAATATTATTATTATTATAGTTTATTTTTGTATATTTTAATTGATTTATTTTTATTTTATTTTCCATTTTCTTTTTAATATTTTGTTTTTAATTTGTTATATTTTCTTTTTAAATTTTAGTAATGTAGTTTTAATACTTTTGTGGGTGTTTCTATCTTTTTTTATTAGCTTTTTAATGTCTATGTATATTTTTTTAAATTTCAGGTTTAGTTATTTTAGCACAAGTTAAACTAAATGGAAAATAAGAAATGTTGACTTGGCAACTGGCTGAAATTTTATTTATTTATTTATTTTTTATTTCAGTTAAAATACAAAACGTTTTCTTTTTATGGTTTTCATTTTAGTTTTTTAGTTTTTCTTCCCAGTTTGAATTATTGTAGCACAAGTTAAACTAAATAAATGAGAAATGTTTCCTTGGCAACTAGCTGAAATAATTTTTTATTATTTTATTTTATTTAAGTTAAAACGTAATTTATTATGGTTTTTGTTTTAGTTAACAATTTTTTTTTATTAATTATTGTTTTAGTTTTAGTACAACTTAAACTAAATGAAAATGGAAAATGTTCCCTGGGCATTTATTTTATTTCAGTGAAAATATCAAATATTTGTAATTGCTATTTTTTAGTGTTTTTTTTTTTTTTTTTTTGGAAATGGGCATTCAAGACAAATTCAGAAAGAGGTGGTTTAAGTATAACTGTATTGTTGTGTGTTCATTTAAAAAAAAGTATGGGAGATCAAGGTTGGCTGGACAAGATCTGGCTGGTACAGGGTTCATTTTGGTGTCATAATATTTTGGTGTTGCCACAAAACTGAATGTTTGCCCTTTTGGCTCACATTGGTTCTATAAAGACATCTATAAAAATGACTTTATAAATATTAGTTATGGGAGACATTTTTCATTTGTTGTACAGTTTGGATACTTGTGATTAATTATGCTTTCCAGGTGACATCATTTATTGCTAATATAATGATTCATGATATATTATTAATTTTCACAACTTTTACAATCTTTTAAATAACCAATAGGGAAACTTTAGAAGATGTTTTGCTCCTCAAAGTGCCTGTTTATACCTTTTATGCCATCCAAATATGTAATATTTCAAGAATCAGTCACTGATTCCCCATATTGAACACCCCATATTGATTGAACAATAACTTTGTTTGAGCGATTAACAAGTTATTTTTATTGATATACTGCAGTCCTAAATACGTGGGTGGCATAACGGGTATAAACGGGGGCAAAAACAACATCTAAAATCTCCCTATTGATTATTTACAAGATTGTAAAAGTTAAATAAAATTAATGATATATCATTTTTATTTAATCATAAAAACACTATCTGGCAAATTTGGGTTAAGTGGTGTTAGTTTGGTTTAAAATAAACGTTTACATCTGTTCCGTTTGTTGCATCCCTTTAAAAATTGTGCCAACCAACCACACAACCTCAGCCACAAGTGCACAATATAACTTTTTATTTTATTTTATTTTTTACAAGGAAATATTTTGTGATACTGAATGTGAGATTTTCATCAAATGAAAAAAAAAATCGACCAGTCAACCCTGCACTGGTGCACCATAGGCTACTTTCATACTTGCTTTTTAATGTGAATTCCTTGTATAAAAATGGTAAAAGCTGTTGTTGTTTCATAATCTATATGTTTGTATGATGTAAATGTAATAAAGCAAAAGTTTCAATTAAATTGATCACAAATACTTTGCATAATGCTACTGAACGTGTCACCAACCAATGCACAGACTGAAGGCAGGTCTGGATCAGCATGTGAGTGGAGCGGAGTGACAGAAGAGATAATACACTGACCGATCTGTAACCAAATCCACTCCGGGATTTTCATTTGTCCAAAGCGTTGATAGAGCGACATCGAATGAAAAAACACTGAGGGAAAAACTACTACTAACAAGCTAGTAACTACTAATATGTCCCCCTCCCCCCCTCTTTCTAATACAGTCCTTATTGCTATAAAAGGCTATAAAATTGGCTTCTACCGACTTCTTCAAAGCAGGTTTACCGTTTCTCCAGTAGGTGGCACGATATACTTCGGAATAATAATTTCCATGGTCAAACTTGCATCACCCTTTTCTGGCAAACAGTGTTTTCCGATAGACTTACGAAAAGATTTCAGGTATATTTATTGTGATAGTTTTTAACCCATTATTTTCCTTCCTTTCTCTTTGCTAGCCACAACTTAATACATCACATATATGGTTAGCATTCGCCGGTATACAGTAAAGCTGTATTTTTTCCCCCTATGAAGACAAGCTCATTAATAAGCTCTGTTATCATTTATCCACAATTTACATGTGGATGAGTAAGACCCTGTTACTGCAGACCGCCCTCCAGTTTCACTTGGTTCCCCTCAAAACTTCCAAATGCTGGAGCCGAAGGCAGATAACGGGAATCCGCCTCACACTCTCACTGCTTCCACAACAAGCATCTGCTGCCAACTGGAGTAACTTCTATTCCCGTCGTAAATAACGTTACTAGAACTTCCCAAAAGAAGCAATATCGTCACTGTGAATGGAAAAACTACGGCAAAACTTTTGAAAGTGGTCGGAGTAACTTGAAAGTGACAGCTGACCCGAAAAGGATTTTTAAAGCGTAATTATTTATTTGGAGAACTAGTCAAAAGGTTGCAACTGGATTTACAGGATCACTTTTCTAACAGTCTTCACATCATGGTACATAAATATGGTAAGTTCCGTTAAAACAGTTAGCTTCAGTTGTTATAAGAAGACGATATCTTATAAACATTTGGCAGTGATTTAATTGTTTTTAACGTTTTTCAGTTTCGATATATGTGTATTTTCAAGTAGGAATCTTTTGGAAACCCCAAGGGAAACAGGAAGCATTAGTCTGAAGTGAGATTATGTAACTTTTAATAAAACCGCTATTCTTTACAGAAGCTCAATGAATGTCAAGTGTAGCATAGGCGACATACTGACTCTGTTTTACCCATCACAATCTGTGATGTTTATGTGGAAACTCCTACAACCTTTACCTTTGCCTTATCTCTTCTTCCCTTAAACCTTTACCGGAAAGATTCAGAAACCCTCAAAATGTTTTTATGCTTAAAAATCTGTCAATACCACTGTTAGCGAAGCATTATTTCATTTAAAGAAAGCATAAGCACCATTTTCAATTAAAACTTTTAACAACAAACGTTTAAATAAACCTCACAGGCATTGTTATTGCTGTTGTATTGCTTATTGGATAGAACAGATACATATTCAAGCTCATATACTATGCTGAACTAAACCTGTGATTACTCTTATAGGACACCTGTGTGAACATGACAACTAACTGGTTAACTGTAAAACTGGTTAACAAAATTGTTGCATCACTTGTTATCTAATGCATTTTAAGTGTGACTTAGGTGTCTACATTTTTTTTATAATTTTTTTTTTTGCCACTATATGGTCCCTTTTATTCCATACCAGTAACCCACCAAATAAGACAGGCTGTTACGCAAGACTAATAATTCATTTATTTTTATCTGCTTGCTGAAAAACTGTTGTTAGACAGACCTGGTTGAGTTGAACATCTGGCTGCACACCCCTTCTAGGGGTTCTTGTAATTATAGGCAAGTAATGTCAGATTTCAAGCATCTAGCATAGTGCAGAGCCTTTTCAGAATTAGACATGCATCTAAAAATGTCTTCAGACTGTCAGAAAGCGTATGTAGGTAATGGAGAAAAGGCATTAAAATAAGTAGGAGTTGTACTGAAATAGAAATGCTTGTCTTTTCTTTTATTTCAGATACCAAAAGAGCAGTTGGGCTACTGAAACAGTACCAGGCAAGTCTGACCAGCCCAGAAGAGCAGACCCTGAAGACCAGCGTGGAGAAGGTCTCTTCCATCTTTGGCAGTCATCTTTTTCAGGCTCTGCTGGGTGAGGGTTGTTTCTGTGTATGGCTCTCAAAACAAATAATGATTAACTGTCATTATTTAGGGCTGTACCACTTGATTCCAGTACATTCTATACCAAGCAAAATGTTCCAAGAAGCCACGTTATAGTTTGTTCAGCTTTACTAAACACTGCTGATATTTTTCTAAATGGTACATTTTGTTTTCTGTCCATGGACCAGCTGCCTCAATTCCCTCGTTTACATTAACAATGGCTTTAGGATATAATAGTTTCACCAAATAGACTAACATTACTGACGCTGCCTTACAAATTATGAGTTTTACGAGTTACTTATTTCTTACATGAGAAATCAGACCCATTGCTCATCTGTTGCACTCATTTCCATTATCCAAGTTTTGAATTATTGGATTAAGCCACATGAATAGGTCCTTTCAGAATAAAAACAAAAGGTTGTCTGTTTTTAAACTGAAATCTTACTAAATGGGTCCTCACTGCTGTCTCTAATGGCTTGATCTTTTGCATGTATTTGAGACTTTCAGAATGTTTACCGAAGTTTGTGCCACTGTTCTCAAGTTACCCAACGAGTCAGACTTTCACAACCCCAGATGATTTAGCAGTACTGTGGATGTGCTCTGTCACATTTTAATGATGTCTCACAACAAGCCAGAATAAGAAAATATACAAGTAACAATAGGTATCACTGTCATGCCAGGTGCATCTTACAAATATACGAGATTTCCTAACTTATTTTTAGTTTTTGTCCTGCAAAGGAAACAAATTAGTCCCATTACGAAACGGTTGAGTGGTTATCTTAATTACCAGGTCCAGGCTTTAATGAGGCCTGCCTGCTGCTGTTGCTGTGATTCAGAAGAGTAGTACCACAGGGGCCGTGATCAAGCCTATGGGGTTGCGTTGCCATAGGACTGTAGTGAGGAGAGGGACAGGTTTCCCCTGATCTCAACTCATGGGTTTTCTCATATGCCATTGGGCATGACAGGCTTATGATGTCGTATGTGATACTGTTGTGCATGTGCTGGTCATTCTAAAAAGGCATAGAAAATGACAAAGTTTTATATAAAGTCTATTTCATTTAAACCTGTAAATATATAAAGTATATCAAGTTTATATAATTTAAAACAATTAAAGGCAATAGGGGAAAATGCTTTTTTTTTTTTTAAGATTTCAAAGTATATAATACAAGTACATTTCTTAACTTTTTGATCACATACACTACTCTCAAATGCAGTAAAAATCATAATACTGTGGAATATTACAATTTAAAATAGCTGTTTTCTATTTAAATATATTTTAAAATGCAATTTATTCCTGTGATGCAAAGCTGAATTTTTAGCAGCAATTACTCTAGTGTTCAGTGTCACATGATCCTTCAGAAATCATTCTAATATACTGATTTGCTGCTCAAAACATTCCTATTTTTTTACTATGTTGGAAACAGTTATGTTGTTTAATATTTTTTGAAACTGTGATTTCAATCTTTGATGAACAGCATTTATAAGAAAGAGAAATATCTTGTTAAAATCTGCCATTTTTGAACAATTTCATGCATCCTTGCTGAATAAAATTATTAATTTCTTAATAAACATTACTGACCCCAAACTTTTTGAACAGTAGTGCATAAGTTGTTTTCTTTTTTAGTCGAAAATCATTTGGATTCTGTTGAGGGGATTTTACCTTTTATTATGATACCTCTGGTGTTACAGGAAGTGTCAGTCACTTAAACCTTCCTGTTTATTTTTTCATAGTGGTAAGCTTTGTGATTGAGGGGTAAAGGGTATTATCATTTTTTAAAACAAATATGGCTCCTGCCGTTGTTATTTTGTTTTCGGATTTGTCATTGTGTTTTCTGACTTGTTATAATGTTTTCTGAATTGTTGTTGTGCTTTCTGAATTTTTATTTTGTTTTTTAAACTTGCATTTGCGTTTGTAATTTGTTATTTTGATTTCAGAATTGTGATTTGTTTAGCACTTCTCGGCCACCGTACCAAACAGATGTTCCAAATACTCTCATTTATCAGGCTTTAAATCAGTCATGAGAGTCTCAGCTCTCAACTGGCATAGCACAGTAAGAGGATAAGGATTCCACACATTCCAGAAAGAGGCTGGATCATTAGCGGGAACGTGGGATAACATGTAGGTAGATTGATAAACAAACAGCTCTTGGCTGCAGTGAAGTACTCCCATCTGACCTCAGGCCAGATTAAGCAGAGCGTATCGCTTTGTGCAGGACGGCCCATTCTCTCTCTCAGGTACTGGGGAGAGGGGTCATGTGAGGCTGAGCTGAGAGCAACATGTGGTTTCAATCGTCTCTCCAGCCTCTTGGGTGTTGGCCAGAGTTAAAAAAGGGAATACAGTATGAATTCTAGCAAAAATTAGACAGATTAAGAATGTATTGTCAGATGGAAAATATTTAATATTATATTTTATATTAAATATTATAGTATTTTTATATTATATTTTGATTTGTATTATTATAGTTTAATATAGCTTTTAATATTGGGGTTTTAAGTGACAAAATATCATGCGCTTATACATGATGTTTAATCCTCAGTCATTAATCTCATTCACATAATTGAAGTGTTCTTAGACTCTTAAGTTGAAAGCCCTTTGTTTTATGTGGCATCAAAGAAAAAGTGATCATCGAATATATTGGGGATACAATGAGGCTTGTAACAATTCAGTTCTGTGATGCACTGTGGGAGGGAGGAAGATTCGACCGTGGGCTTGTTTGGTTGTCTGCATGATTGCACAATTTTGAACAAAGGTTTTCCTAACTGCACACTCATCCCTTTGTTTCCAAACACACAAACAGACTAGGGATCACACAGGTTTTGTGCCCAAATATGACCCAATATCAAGGCAGGGCTATTTTTATTGCTGGGGAAAACAGACAGTCCATTATTCCTCAGTACTTTCTCAGTACTCAGTACAGAGTTTCGTTTTGTGTTATCATGTTTTAGTTCCTTCTAGACAGTTTTCAGTATTTATATATACTATAACAAGTCAGCCTACTTCACTTTCACCTTGTATCAAATGCTTTTTAACTCTTACTAATGCTGCATTTATTTAATCAAAACTACAGCAACAGCTGTAATATTGTGAAATAAATATACAGTATATGATAAAAACAGTTGTGCTGCTTAAAATGTCAATATTTCAAAATAATTTTTGTATTTATTTATTTTAAATAGATTTTTTGTAACGTTGTACATATATGTACTGTCAATTTTGATCAATTTAATTCAATAAAATTATTCACAAAAATGTTGCTGACCCCAAACTTTAGAACGGTAGTGTAAGTCTGTTGAGGATCTGTTTGCTTTGAAACAAAATGTCACAGTAAAAACTGTAAAAATGTTATAGCTGGGTCACTGATAATAGTTTTACAAGGTACCTACAGAGGAAAAGCGGTGAGAATTATATTGAATTCACAGGATAATACATGTAGTTTGTACTGTAAAATATTTTGTAAAATAGTGTTATACTAAAACTAAAATTAAAACAATGGAAAAACCCTTAAGATAACATGTAGAAAGAAAGAAAAAACGCATCTTAAGCACACAGAATAACATAAGTGGACTTTGAACGATTAATTGCCGCTTTGAACGATTACGTAATTGTGGCATCCATAATTGTAATCGCGATTAGAAATTTGATTAATTGTGCAGCCCTAAAATGAAGTATATTTTACCATATAATATGAATGAACTGTAACAGTACTGTTTTAAACTATAAAATATAGTTTAGAATCAGTATATGTGGGAAACTGGTTCAGGATGGTTTTTGATGGACAGAAAAAGTCAGTTTTCAACAAATCAAATGTGTGTTAACTTAATATTGACATTGAAATGAGGTGAACCAAGTGAAAAGGAGAGCAGTTGTGTAAAAATGATTCTGTGTAGAGGACTGTGTAGTTAAGCAAAAGGACTTTGTGTTTTTTGTTCAGTGGCCAGGAATTTATGTGGTCTTTTAGGATTTACTTGGCTCTGGGAACATTCTGCTGAAACGCTTTTTTTTTGGAGGAAAAAAACTTTGTCTGAAATAAATGTGCCCGTATATCAAAGTATGTTAGTCTGTTTTGAAGAACCGATTTTTAGCATTCAGCTGTAAAAAAAAAAACATTTTAGTGCACACACAATCTGTTATATCCATGACAGTAAGTAGCCCTAGACATGAATAATCATTGATGTTGCCTGCTATGTTTCACTCAATAATGCATTTGAGGGGAAAGGTCTCCTCGATGAAGACATAATTCATACTCACACGTCTTCAAAGACATTCAGGACAGCTTTACTAAACGAGGAGGTGTTTCTGTCTGACACACTTATGCATTTCCATTCATCCTACAGCTGCATGTTTTATAATCATGCAGCATTTAGTGGAAGACTCTACGCTTTAGTTTACTTTCCCCGTCGCTCTCTTTCTTTTCTCCGCTCTCTCTATTTCTCATCTGGCTCTTACCAGCCAGGCGATGAAACCGCTTCCCACACACTGTTCTCCTCCCACTCACACAGGCTCACACAGACACAGCCATGATGAGTCACATAGCCCCATTCTTCTACTGTCTTTCCCGCTGCACCCCAGTGGGACTCCATTACTGCCCCTAACAGCTCCCCCACACACACACGTACACGGTCCGCATGCGCCGCCAGTCCGAGTGCACTGCTTATCTGTCCAAAAAAAGAGTTGCTTTTCTCTCAAGCGCTTTCTTCTTCCGTCTTAAAAACGACTCGCTCGTTTCTTCCAGTGCAAAGGGGGCCAAGAGCGCATTATGCTTCAAAGGCACAGCGAGGTAACAAGCATCTCATTATGTTATTAGTGCAGGCTGTGGGCCAGTGTGGGAGTGTGGGTGACATCAGCAGCATTGTCTCCCTCCATTCTCATCAGCTGGTCGTCCCTCTGTTGGTGACCACAGGCCACGGCAGTTAGTGACCTGAGAGGTAATGAGGTAAGACGTATAGAGAGGAAGAAAGGGTGGGGTGAAGAAACAAATCATTCTTGTTGGAAGGGGGGAAGAGGTGGTTTGGGGACACGACCAGGACAGTAGCAGTCCCGTTAGGAGACCAGAAACATCCCAATCTTTGATGTAACCGTCAGAAGTTATTAAAATAGGCCACTTGGCTCTGGGAACATTCTGCTGAAAGGCTTTTTTTTTGGAGGAAAAAAACTTTGTCTGAAATAAATGTGCCCGTATATCAAAGTATGTTAGTCTGTTTTGAAGAACCGATTTTTAGCATTCAGCTGTAAAAAAAAAAAACATTTTAGTGCACACACAATCTGTTATATCCATGACAGTAAGTAGCCCTAGACATGAATAATCATTGATGTTGCCTGCTATGTTTCACTCAGTAATGCATTTGAGGGGAAAGGTCTCCTCGATGAAGACATAATTCATACTCACACGTCTTCAAAGACATTCAGGACAGCTTTACTAAACGAGGAGGTGTTTCTGTCTGACACACTTATGCATTTCCATTCATCCTACAGCTGCATGTTTTATAATCATGCAGCATTTAGTGGAAGACTCTACGCTTTAGTTTACTTTCCCCGTCGCTCTCTTTCTTTTCTCTGCTCTCTCTCTTTCTCATCTGGCTCTGACCAGCCAGGCGATGAAACCTCTTCCCACACACTGTTCTCCTCCCACTCACACAGACACAGCCATGATGAGTCACATAGCCCCATTCTTCTACTGTCTTTCCCGCTGCACCCCAGTGGGACTCCATTACTGCCCCTAACAGCTCCCCCACACACACACGTACACGGTCCGCATGCGCCGCCAGTCCGAGTGCACTGCTTATCTGTCCAAAAAAAGAGTTGCTTTTCTCTCAAGCGCTTTCTTCTTCCGTCTTAAAAACGACTCGCTCGTTTCTTCCAGTGCAAAGGGGGCCAAGAGCGCATTATGCTTCAAAGGCACAGCGAGGTAACAAGCATCTCATTATGTTATTAGTGCAGGCTGTGGGCCAGTGTGGGAGTGTGGGTGACATCAGCAGCATTGTCTCCCTCCATTCTCATCAGCTGGTCGTCCCTCTGTTGGTGACCACAGGCCACGGCAGTTAGTGACCTGAGAGGTAATGAGGTAAGACGTATAGAGAGGAAGAAAGGGTGGGGTGAAGAAACAAATCATTCTTGTTGGAAGGGGGGAAGAGGTGGTTTGGGGACACGACCAGGACAGTAGCAGTCCCGTTAGGAGACCAGAAACATCCCAATCTTTGATGTAACCGTCAGAAGTTATTAAAATAGGCCTTTGTAAGTATTAAATACGTAGAAATGAACACAAGCAAGAATGCTGTTGTTCAAAGAATTGCAGCCATTCTGATATTTAGACTACCAGAATGATTATGATTTTGCCTTTATATTGTATATATATAATATATATTTATAATATATATTTATATTGTAATTTTGAGTTACACAATATTTTGGGATACTTTGTCCATTTTTTGCAAGTTCAACCTTTGTCTCTGTGCAACACGCAGTTCTGAATAAATCAATATATAATATATAAATAAAAAAATATATAATTGAGTAAATGATTCACTCACTCAGGAGTGTCATTTATTTCCCAAAATAATCAGTGCTTTTGAATTAAGCATGGTAAACTGTGGTAAACTAAGCGAATAGTAAATTATATAATGTGTCATTGAGTCTCTCATAGAGACACTTGTCGTCACCTACTGGCGAAACAATTTAAACCTTCAGAAAAAGTCAATGATGAACTGACGGTCTGTTTTTAACACACAAACAAACAAGTGCCTCCACATTTTAAGACCAGAATTAACTGTCGGTCGGAGCAGTTAAAGGTGGAAAGAGCTGCAGTGGACAAACAAATTGAATAATAATTAAATTCTGAAAGTGAAAATGATTTTGACCATATTTTGGAATGAACTATGAAAATATGGGGCCATATACATGCAAGTTGCGGTCAGATTAGTGAAATTTTGGCAAGACTTTGTTGGTAAAACAGGTCCACTGTTCATTGTTACAGAACTTACTTTCAAACCAAGCAGCTTTCTGTTGGTCAGCGAGCGAATACGCTTGACCAGTTTGAAGACGAGTGCAATTTGTGTGGGGAACTCCAGATCACGCGGATTCCTATTAAAATAACTGGAATTCTGCTCAATTTCTCTGCACAATGCTAAATGTGACTGCACTGTACTTGATTAGGCATGTGTGAAAAAAGGGGACAACCACTTCAAGGATTCGATTTATATACAGTGGGTACGGTAAGTATTCAGACCCCCTTAAATTTTTCACTCTTTGTTATATTGCAGCCATTTGCTAAAATCATTTAAGTTAATTTTTTTTCCTCATTAATGTACACACAGCACCCCATATTGACAGAAAAACAGAGAATTGTTGACATTTTTGCAGATTAATTAAAAAAGAAAAACTGAAATATCACAAG